GAGGCAAGTCTTTCTAAAGTGCTGGCCCTTTCACCAGTTGGGCTAGAGCAAAAGTCAATTGTGAAAGATACCTTCTACTATGCTCATTTGTCTGGCTTCTTGGGGGCCATCTGGAGCCCCCATCCACCTAATTAAGTCCCCTTCAAATTAAGAGATGAGACACGGAAGGCAGAGAAGTGTAGAAATGACCATTTCTGCTTCCAAGCTCACTGTTCTATTCCAGAGAATCTTAACACTTTCCCAGACTGAATATTGGTCCTTTGACATTCAACACAGATGTCCTCTCATGAACTGCCTTCAAATAACACATGAAGGAAACAAGAGGGGCAAAAGCTGTCTTCTCCAATGCACTTAAGCTTTGTTAGTTATCTGTCTCACTTATTTTAGCAACAGTGACAAACAATGTGAAGCTGCACTGTGTCGACAGGTCTGCTGATTACTACCCCACTGAGCTGTTACTAACTGTAAAGGGGGTGTTTGGCCGGGTGCGGTGGCTCACGTCTGTAATCCCAGCATTTTGGACGGAGGCCGAGGCAGGTGGATCATCTGAGGTCAGGAGTTCAAGACCAGCCTGGCCAACATGGTGAAACCCCGGCCCTACTAAAAATAATCAGCTGGGCGTGGTGGCAGGTGCCTCTAATCCCAGCTCTCAATGAAAGTTTTTGAACCTGGGAGGCAGAGGCTGCAGTGAGCCAAGATCGTGCCACTGCACTCCAGCCTGGGCAACAGAGCGAGACTCTGTCAAAAAAAAAAAAAAAAAAAAAGGAGGTGTTTTTCAGGGGGAAAAAACTTTTCCCACAATAAATCATATATTGTATAGTAAAGAATGGTAGGTACTGGCTTGAAGCATAGATAGAAGAAGGTTACAAAATAATTTCCCAAGATAAGTTCTTAAAAGGGAGTCACAGGGACATCACAAAATATCCTTTTGCATGATATGTCCTTTTGTTTCATTGTCATTTTCAGACTATAAGAATACAGGCACCTTTGGTCTAATGCGATATCCATCCATCCATCCATCCATCCATCCATCCATCCATCCATGCATATCTGCAAGTTACCATTTATCAGGCCTCTGATGACTCAGCTGGTGGCAGATATCTACAGAAGTGTTGGAGAACCAAAGGCTCTTAGTGCAAAGGTGAGAGTGGCAATGAGATTGAGGGATGGTAGTGGTCTGTGGATACAAGGAGGGAAAGACAATATAAATATAAAATTTAAAATACTAGTGATCAATTGTGGTTATCAATAACAGAGAGCAAGAGTGAGTCCAAATATTAATAGCATAACAACAAACAAATGAAAATCATTGCTATTATGCAAAGTGAAGAGTAGTAAAGTAAAATAAACTCAAGGTAACGGAAAATAAAAATAATGCATGGAACTTTACACTAAAGGATGAGAAGCAAGGGAAACGCGAAGGAAAGTGACCTGGGAGGAATTTATTTGATGGAATTCAGGAGCTGCAGTTAAGCAGCCTATTCGGCCTCTCTTGAGCACAGGTGCCTTGGTTTTTCTTGAAATTCCTGTATGGAGCAATGCACTGTGCAAATGTATTAATCACATATGATTAACTATTTGCTTGACAGGAAAGGTCTGGAGCCACTGAGTGTGAAGGTCGGGGGTGGGGTGGGGGACCAAGATCCAAGTTCTAAATCCAAGAACTCCCACAGTAGGGATAAGATTTTACAGTTAAATGAAGTATTAAGGTCAGGTGAATAACTTCTTTTGATTACTCAGTGGTTCTCGATTTCATGGCCAACACCAGGGAAGGAGGCAAGTATTGAGCACTCTGCTTGAATTTTCTCTAAGGAGGGGGAGAAAACCCACCACTCTAAGTGCTAAAAATAAGTTAAAACCATACCATTTCCTTTGGAAAGACAACATGTTTATGAACTGTGACCATTCTCTCCAAGGAATCAGAATCCTGCCTTCCGCCTTCTCCTTAAGTCCCCACGTTTCCTCGGTTCACTAGATAGTTCTGAAAGGAACACACAGTTACCTTTCCTTGACCACAGCTGCTTTTGGTCCTAGAGTAAAACTCACAATACACTCCCAGTATTCCTGCTCTTCCTAACTTCATGCCTGAAAAAGGAAATGTCTGTATTGAGACAGTTTAAAATATATAGACGAACTTACGCAACAAAATACAACTTGTTCTTCAAAGCAGTCACCTTGCGGTCTCCAGACACGTATCCAAAGACACTGTCATTATTCACAACAATTTTTGGAAGTCTCCTTTGGATATTGCCTTTATAAGAAAATCAGGCTCGACTTTATGGCTCATTGTTTTTGACTGAGAATGCTATTTCCTAGCTTCATCATTAATGGGGCAGCAAATCCCTTTGGTTTGAAAAAGCCCATTCTCTGCGGACAAAGATTTGCTACAGTGAAGAGACGCAGAAGAATGTATGACAGCTGAAGGCAATTAAACACGGGGGCTTCCGAACCTGTGCAAGTGACTCACTGGTACATGTGAGCAGCCTCCTCGTGTTTACCGGGAAGAGGATCCCATCCGCTTAGGAACAAAAGCTGAGATATGAGTGCTAATGAAAAAGAAACCCCAGACCTAATCACATCACTTTATCATTTCATATAGAAAATGTAGTTATACGCATCTCTCTCGCTCTGTTTTAAATCCAATTACCTAAAAATGTGATTTTTCCCCCAACTTTCATGGAAAAAGAATTTTGATCAGATATTTTCACTTTTAGTTGTTTTAACTCAGAAGATCTAATAATATTGTGTAATCAAAAATGTTATAAAATCCTATTAATCGAAGATAAATAAATGAACCTCACCTAAAATATTTTCTCTCAAGCACCAAAAAAAAATCCACTTAAGACATATAACCAAATGTTATTTAATATCTTAAAAAGTAACACAATCCAAAATGGATATTTCACACAACACTACATAAACAACATGAACACAGTATCACCATAGGGAGGGACTTTCAAATATAGACTTACAAAAATCCCTGTCCTTTTTTTTCTTTTAAGTTATTATACTAAGCATGACAAGTAATCATCATTTACAGTATGGTACACGGACACGATAAAAACCATGTTACAAATGTGCTGTTATAAATCAGTAACATCAGGGAAGACATTTCATGAACTGTAATTATTTCATATGAAATACTATACAATATAAACAGAACATCCATCTTGGATGACCTTTACAGCAACCAGAGACCAAGTAATTTAAAATTTTTTTTTCAGTGCAAACACATTTTATTCAAGGCAGTCTTGGCTGCAAAACTCCTTTCTAACATACAGTAAATCCCACTTGCACGTCTTAATTCATTTACCCTAATGCAATAGTCACATTCAGTCACTCAGAGAAAGATACCTGCAGAATTATGATCCCTTTAAACTTGATGTTTAAATTTAATTCTCTTCTAGAACGTAGTATCTGTGTCAACTGCTCTAAGGACTTTAATTTGTAGCTGTCAATACTTGCATGAAGGTGACCCTGGGGCAGCTCTATTCCTCACCCAGCAAGTGTGCACCATACTGCACAGTGCTCTGCCCTTCCAATGTGGAAACCGTGACGGCGTGTCAGTATCTAGGTGGGAGAATGGAAAGGAGGACCTCGGAGGAAAGGAAGCGGAGGAGCTGCTGCGTGTGTACTTCATGATTAGTTTCCTGGAACTTCAGAGGACAGATATTGGAGGAGATCTCAGGTCTCACATTTGGTACCTCTTCTTGGTGGGAGCAAGGGAACAGGTTCACTAAGATCAGCCTTGGGACAGGGGGGCAGGCAACTGTACATGGACCAGTCAAGCTTCTAACCTTACATTTCCAGCCTTCCAGAATCATCACTGCCTGACTTGAAACACCCCCTTTCCTCCTTGGCATGGTGTGTGTGTGTGTGTGTGTGTGTGTGTGTGTCCACATTTGAAGCCAACAATTAATGATTACAGCCCTATAACCGATCATGTACAATCGTAAGAAAGTTTAGTGCCCCTTGAGTCTTGTAGAATTCTGAATCTTGTGAATCATCAACTGTAAGTCATAGAACTGTAAAATCACAGGATTGTGTGTTAGGGGAGCCATCACTGGGAATCTCCTTGTGGGCTGCTGCTGCAAAAGACGCAGAGTATTAACTCAATAGGAAGGTGCCAATGTCTGTGTGAAACACACAATGAGGATGTAATAATGAATGTTTTCATATATGTAATTTATGAAACATCTCCTGAATAAAAATCTGTGGGAGAATATTGGATGGATCCTTAATACCATAAGACCTTCTGGGAGAGGAATGGGGCGACAGCTGATTCTTTTATCTCACTTGGCAAAGCTCAGACTGATAGTAATCTCTTTCCTGCCCACATTTTACTAACCCAAAGCAAAACAGTGTTTTCCGTGCCTTTTGCATTTCATGTTTCCTGTGTTCTAGCTCCCCCAAGCCCTAAACATGTGTAGAAATGTCAATCACTACCAGAAGAGCCCTGGATGATGTTGACAATGGGCAGGACGGTCCTGGGGGAGACCGGGGAAAGAAGAGAGCGCTCCTGCTTGGGCCACTGAGGTCTGGCAGCACGTGGCTAGTTGTGACTGGCCTGTGGTGATGGAGGAGATCCCTGTCAAAGATCATCTATCTCCTAATTTGAGAAAACACTTAGAACTGGAAAAGCTCCCTCAGAAATCCAGCTCCTCCAAAGTAGGGCTCGATATACTGTACTGAATTTCTATGGTGCTAAGGAGCACTGTGAAGAGTACTTGATAAAGTTTTTAATTAAAATTTCTGTTTCAGCACCTTCCACTGCCAGGAGCAGTCGTGTTCCTGAATGATTTAGCACGGGAACTATAGAAACCCAGTATGAAACTGTAAACAAGGGTGTGTGTCCAGATCTGCTTCTGACTGCAATGGCATTTGGGTGGATCTGTCAATCACCGGCTTCATCCATCGATACCAGAAACGTGTGCTGAGGTGTAAAATTCCAAACACCCTGAACTTTTTTTTTTTGAATGAAAATGGACAAAAGTGTCAAGTTGTATTTGTTTTCTTTGACTTTATTAGCACACATCAGAAAAATAGCTTTGTATTTAGTGATTTCTCATGATGGTCTATCAAACAGATAGAAAACAGATCATTGATAGCTGCCACTGTGTTTCTGGGGAATCTTAAGTCACTCCTTTTGTTTTATTCATTTCAAGTATGGGTATTACAAAGATGACCTGTCTTGTGAATTGTTTGTGAATCTGAATGCTTTGGAAGCACTTTGAGATCCCAAAGTGAATCGTGAAAAGTCATTATGTTGTTGGTTTTTAAATCAAGCTCCAAATACTGCCCATGTTATAAATGGCGAGACTTTCAAAAAATGATCACTATTGTATCGTGAGCAATATGCTTGTAATTTAAGTTAAAAACTTTATTTTCAAGTACACTTGGTGGTGATAAGTGGTTTATCCTGGGTAGAATTTTGCAAAGCTGCGCCAACCTAAAAAAGGAACAATGCTTCTGCTTCCACTGAACAGGTTTCTTCTCCCCATGGTGACTGCAATGTAATTTAAATTTACATTTTAGAAATGCTGGTTGGGCTATGAAAAAGAGGGACCTGGGAACAGCTGGTGTTCAGATCATTGTTATTCCAGATTAACTGTGAATTGACGCTTCCTGAACCCGACCTTCACAACATCAGAGAAGCAGTAACTTGTTATTTTTATCCAGCTAGTCTCCATTCGCCTCTTCTATTTGTTTTCTCTATCTGATGGCACCCCCCCGTTCATATGTTTATTATGGTCCCCTGAGATGTGCAAAATATATATAATGGAATACAAATTATTTAACAGAAGTTGTGGAATTCACAGCACAGCTCTTTTAATTAAAGTGGAGTTTGGGCTCGACATGGTAGCATGCGAGTGAAGGCAGAGCCCGAAGTGCTTCAAGCTTGGCAGTCCACATTGCTTGTGTGTCTTCTGTTACTGAAAACTTAGACTTCAAATCAGATTTCCAAAGGAGTAAATAGCTCTCTCAATTACGTTCACCCATTGGCTCTTCGCCAGAGAACTTTTAACAGGAATGGGTGGGGGGGCGGGGGGGGGCAAAAGAATTTTTAAACTTCTGTTCATTCCTAACAAAATCGACTGCGCTTTCGTGGGGAAGAGAGGAGAAGACAGGATTACATCTGAAAGCCAAACAAGGGCGTAAGAGAAAGCCATGGCGATGGAAAGTCATGAGTCCACAGAGGCAATCACTGACACACACAGCACGCCATGCCCTAATGTTGAAGGAAGTGTTCAACTTTGCGCTTCTGAACGATACACTTTAACACACGGCTGCCATTTCATCAAATTTATGGAGGTAGTTATATGTAAAAATAAAAATTACCATAAAGTAATATGTTGTATCATAATAATACATAAGTGTGCAAAATGCCGACAGATGTGTTGACCCTTTCACAGAGATTCAACCAGATTCGGTTTTGTAAACCTTTCAGTTGCTAAACCCTAAGACTGGATAAGCAGTCGTGTAACACAAAGCTATGATTTTACAGGAGGAAAAGGATACTGGCAACGCCTGGCGAGGACCCCACTGTTCTGGGACCGAGAGCCTCACCGTGACCTCGGATGACATTTGCAATGTGCTGCCGGCAGCCACTCCTCCCCTGTTCAAGAATCTCAATCAGATTCAGGCAAGAATAGTTTTATATGCAACATCTGCTTACATGGTATCACCTTTAAAGTCCATCATTTCTACACTAATGGCTGCTGGTCTAAGGGAGTTTTTAAAAAATTATGTACCCCATAGCATCAGGCAAATAGTGTACATATTTATTTGAATAATGTCTTCTGTAAACCTATATCCCATGAAATATCAATAAATTCCTATGTTAAAGCTTCTCTTAAAGGTAATGCTTTCCTTTCCTGTTCACATAGCATTCGATTATTTCAATGGCTACTTTCAGAGGATCAGCTAGAGGCTGATGTGTTGTTTCCATGGTTATATTATTTATGAACTGAGAGTAGAAGAAAAATTTGAGAGCAGGTTTTTTGGAAAAAATGAATTTAGACAAAAATTTAGTAACCGTATGATATATAACTCCCCAAGGGAACCGACTATGTAGTCTATTAGATACATGATCATTCCTTCTGGACATATTTAAGCGATAAGACAAACAATGCGTCGAGGCATGCCTTGGAGGAAATAAGGCATGAGACTGAAAGCCAACTGGCTTAAGCATTTCAATGGTATGGGAGTTTACTAAGAAACGTGCTGAAGTTTCACTATAGTAAGCACAAAAAAGGAATTTATACCAAACTCAAGGAGTTCAGTTTGACCCAATGCAACTTCCAAATAACTGAAAAACTAGGAGGGAGCATTTAAAGGTTTCAAGAATGAGTCCAACTGTGTATAGGACTGGATTCTTTAAACAGATCACTAGTGATTAAACCTAATACAAAAACAGATGTGTCTCACAAATCATATGTCAATTACTGAAATCGGAGGTGAAAACATTCTAGATTTATTTTGGGATATATATATATTTTATGGTGTATGGCTCCCAGCAGCACATGCCACTGAACTAAATAAAACTTTATGTCAGAACACTTACTTGTGTCCTATGTAACCCTTTTGCAAAGAATATTCCATTACTACAGATCTGTTCCACTGTTCTCAGAAAATAAAACATGGGAACGCTGGAATGTCTCTTTGCTATAAGATGAAATTATTGGTCATCCCTTTGCTGCTGGGTCTTCTTTGTGTTCAACATGACATTGGAAACCAAAGCAAAATGTTAACAAACCGTTTTGAAATAAGTTGGGCTAATTAACTACACATCCACCTAAAAACGCCTCCTGAAATTGGTTACAAAGTATCTGTAAACATTACTCTGGCATAGTTCATGTATGCATAATTGTTATTCTGATAAATTTTAGGGGAGTACAAATTAGGATTATACCACACTAGCAGAATGAGCACATTCTGTTGTTTATTACATGGGCACATGTATATTTCTAATCAAAAATTATTTTAAAAGTTTTCTCTATAGATATCTTCCCAGGAATAAAAGGCCTGAAGTTCAACTCTCCCTAAATTTGCTCTTTCCTATAACCACTAAAAATTATCTCCCACAGCCTAATTTAGGCATTCTATCTAAAACTACATAAAATAGATTTATGTCCTTCCATTAGAAAGAATAACATCCTCAGGCCATACTCTTCATTTGTATCACAAAGAACATTTTGCTTTTAAACAAACTAATTATTGTATCTATTTGAGTAAGATAGGGTCATCCTAAGTATCACGAGGAGGAAATTCTCTTCCTTCAATATTTGAGTAACACCTTTTACAAGTCCACATCACCTCTCCCATCACCTAGAGCTGTGCCCCAGCCAGACTGGAAATTCCTTTCCTTTGTCCACTTCAGATTCAAAGGCCTATATTCCTGTTTGTGATCATGGAAGGTTAAAAAATCAGACAAGCATCTGTTACACTGGAAAACAAAATCCTGAAAACATTCACTCCCAGCGATTTTCATTGCGACCCCTTCTCACACACTTCCACGGGCTCCTGCAAAAGAGTGTCACGAAAACTCACAGTGAAAAATGACTGGTGCATAAACAATTCACACACAAAGGGCCAGGGTCCCTTCTAGTTAGTTTGGCATCTATTTCCCTCAGGGTGGACCCTTGCATTTGACATTTCGTGGTGACTTAGTTTTTTTGTTTTTTTTGTTTTTTTGTTTTCTGTTTTTTTGTTTTTTTTGGAAGTGTCAAGGATCAGTTCTGTGGCACCGTTTAACCACAGACTGGGAGCAACACGCATCTGTGGCATTTTAAAATGGAATTGGCAACTGCATGACATTGAAAATGCATATTACACTTACAGTGTCTAGACTTTCCTATGTGTGCTCAGATACAATTAGTGAAGCAAAAGTATACATATCACCCCTACTGTTATTCAGTTGCTACAGAGCCATAAATGTGAAAAGCAATACTCTGAAATAAAGATTTTTTTTTGTTTTTTTGCCCTAGCCCTACTTAGCAGCACAGTTTAAGTAAACACAAAAACTGTGGTTGAGATGCTTGTCTTTCCAAAGATGTAAACATCAGTCCCAGTGTCGTAAACTTTGCTGTATCGAATGAGACAGAAGATCTGAGGCAGAAGGACTATCACACACTAGTAACAGAAGCTTGCAAGCAGTTGGAAGGTTTCTGTAGCTTCTCAGCTTCATTTGTCGGCGGGTCCGCGCTCGCTCGGAAGTTGAAGGCTGGACCAGCTCCACCATGCGCCGGGCTCAAAGCAGGGTTCTGACGACGGTTACTTTCAACAATGCTTGATGTGTTGGAAGCCAGGCTCTCCCGAGTACTAAAAGAGTAAAAAGGGTTTGTTTTGTTTTGTTTGGAACATAAATAATTATAAATTGAGCCCCAGAGGAAGAGCAAATGATGTCGTTAATGGATTTCCTCTGTTGGTTCATAATGTCATATCAATATACATTTCGACTGATTATTCACATCTGCCTCTCCACCACGGGCTCCAGAAGCTTCCACAGACATATAATAATCAGCAGCACACTCAGTGAATAAAGGGTTTTTAAACAGCTAAACGCACTTTGAAATGTCTTCTCCTTCTTTTCACACTCAAGGAAACGACTTCAAAATTTGAGGTGATAGCTAGCTCTCGCAGTGGTTTTTAAAATGGATACTCATAAATACACCTAAGTCATGATTTCATTTCAGGCTGGAAATTCACTGGCATAGCCGCTCCTGAACACACTCGATAATTTTACCCTAAAGATTCCATTTTCGTTCTGGATTAGATTTTGACTTTGGGGGACTCTAAGCATGCCCTTTTTGGGGGGACCCTGAGCATTTGCTGCACAGATGAGAATAAAATTCATTTTAAATGTTTTATTCCACTGTTTCAAAATTTAACACGTTAGTTAAAATACATTATATTTTCGATAAAGGACTGTAGATTTTTTTTCCCTATTGATTTGTTAAGTTTCCATTCATTTCTGCCTCACTTCGGCAGGACTGTTTTTGTTTGGATTTTTGGGTTTTTTTCGTTTTTTTTTTTTTTTTTTTGGAGACAAGGTTTTGCTCTGTCCCCCAGGCTGGAGTGCAGAGGTGTGATCTCAGCTCACTGCAACTTCCACCTCCCTGGCTCAAGCAATCCATCTACCTCAGTCGCCCGAATAGCTGGGACCACAGACATGTGCCACCATACCCGGCCAATTTTTGTGTTTTTAGTAGAGACTGGGTTTTGCCATGCTGCCCAGGCTGGTCTCCAACTCCTGAGTGCAAGCAATCCGCCTGCCGTGGCCTCCCAAAACGCTGGGATTATAGGTGAAATATTGTCCTTTAAAATAATTCGTATAGAATAGATGTGATTTAAAAGTTGTATTATTTTGCTCTCTCTTTTACTTTTTCTAAGTTAGAAACATTTTAATCTATTTCATTGCTTTAAGACATTTAGAACATTTAAGATTTCAAATGCATAGGGCAATGGCAGAAATCAGATGACTGGCCCAGATTGAGAAGAACTGAGTAGGTTTCGTGTTCCAGAACCTCAATGTGGCTACAAGAACTCTATCAGCTACAGAGACTGAGGAAGCCAGAACATTCTCAAAACATCCACTGCATGAGGCAGAGTCAACACTTAGGAAATATTCTCTGAGCGTTGGTCCCCACATCTGACTTAAGCCTGCTAGAGCTAGTTAACAGGTCAAACTACGACAGCGGAGATGTCCTCTCCTCTCTTTCATTCCTATCCTAGGCCGATAGCAATTTTGTCTGAATCCTGTGCTCTGATAGTGCTTTCCAAGAGGTTATTTAAGCCTAACTCCTTGTGGCTTTGAGTTTGCTTCTCACCAAGAAGCCAAGAGTTAATTGTTTAAAAGGCAGTTTGTTCACCACCAACCAAAAACAAACGAACAAAAAAAAACCCCTGGAATTTTCTTGAATGTCAAGGGTGCCTCCAGAAAGGTAATCCACTTATAGAGAGAAGTCAAGTTTTTCATAATGCTTATGGTAAATCTGAGCAAACCTAAAGGACACTCCAAAATGTCATCACTAAAAGGGAAAGTGCTAGACTTGTCTACATGACATGTCCCCCAGGAAAATTCACCAGTGGCTTTGCCAGAGCCACCACTGAGGCATGCAGCAGGCGGAGGAAGGAGGAGGGGCAGGAAAGATGCAAAACCCCGAAGATTTCAAGACACATTCCTTTGGTTTCATTCTTAATCACTAAAGCAACTTTTTACAGTATCTGACTTCCTCATCTCTAAAATAGAGAGTTATGATGGGATTTACCTACTCCTAGGGTGACTGTGAAGAAGAAATAAGCATCAAGGAAGAATCTGTACACTAAAAAGGTAGAAAATGTGGATTATTTCTGTTACACACCTAGCATATAATGAAATAAATAGTGACTGTGGGTTCGCTTCAGAATCCATGTATTACAAATGACATATTTTCTATGGGAAAATACATTTTAAGGTTCAAAGGATTCACTCTTAAACCAGGTTTCGAGGGGTGGGCTCAACATTTATTGAGTGCCTGCTGTATACCAGACACCGTAAACACATATTACAATAGATCATCTGAGCTGGGGTCTGTCTCTACGATAAGATCCCTTTGCCCACCTTCAATCACAGCCAACATGTTAATAGTGGCGAACATGTACAGTACTTCATCTTCTCCAAAGAATGTATTTCATTATTGTTGCAATAATGATTACAGTCTGTGACGTTCACACTGAGGGCTCCGGATATGCTGATGAAAAAGTTAAAGGAGATGGAATGTTAGCAGTAAAAATATTCCTCAAATTCAAAGTTGGGTTTTTTTTTAAAGAGAGCTAATGGAGTGCAACCTTAAAAATAGGATTTCAGGATTTTATAGGGAGGAGAAATGGACCAAGTGGCTGTGTTGTTCGTCCTTCTGTGCGCATGTGTTCCCCTGGCCCCAGGCGTCTACAGCACACGTTCATGCATTACATTAGGCAGATATACCCCTGGCAGCCTTTGGTCTCTTGATTTTCATTTTGTGTTCATCAACCAGCTTTAGGCCTCACATTTGGAATCGCAGGCTTTTCATGTCAAGACTTTTCAGTTTCAATATTAGATCTCATAGCATAGTTCAAGTTTCTACCCTTTTTCCATCTACATCCCCTTTAATTTCCAACGAAAGGGACTAAAGAATTTTGGAAATGTGGCTGAATGAGACTTCTGAGCCAGCACTGAAACCCTGGGGTGTGGAGAAAAATCACCTTTTGGGGTCTTTTTGTTTGTTTGGTTGGTTGGTTGGTTGCGGCTTATTTACTGAAAGATTTTAATAAATGGCCTGTCAGGGCTGGGCACGGTGGCTCATGCCTATAATCCTAGCACTTTGGGAGGCCAAGGCAGAAGGATCTACAAAAATTTTTTTTCAAATGACCAGGCATGGTGTCACACACCTATAGTCCCAGCTACTGAGAAGGCTGAACTGGGAGAACTGCTTGAGCCCAGGAGTTCCAGGAGGCAGAGAGCTACAATCACCACGGCACTCCAGCCTGGGCAACACAGTGAGACCCTGTCTCTAAAAAAAAGTAATAAAGATTCCCATGTCTCACAGCAAGGGTAAGGTATGAGCATGATAATGCTATCTGTCTAAAACAGTCCCCAGACTGGAAAGTAAAGTCTCTAGACGTCAAACACTTTCCTTTGCAGAACACACTCCTGGATCAGCGAGACAACTCCGTGACTTCATTATGGTGTGTAGAAAATAGTTTGTCACCTAGCTTCTAATCGAAGGGTCGTAAATATGAAAGGGATAAATTTAGCAATTGTCTGTAGATTCTCTACTAAGTACATAAAATATATAGGTGATACATGTTTTCATGTAGAGAAAATTCTACTTAATATTAGTGGGCAGACGTGGCTATTGTGCGAAGGTTGTCTCTTTAGAACAAGCTTTACCTTCTGTCATGACAAAGCATTTAACTTTAAGGACACAATGAAACAACTGAAAATCAACTTACTTCAAGAAATAATCCCAGTCATAAATTCTATATTCTGCACCCCAAGTTTAGAGATAGTAAAATATTTTCTGTAGAGATACTGGTTCAACCATTTCATGAATATCTCTGTTTACCTTCAAACAAACAAAAAACTTTCAATGTTATGCAATGGAAGGTTTTCTAGCTAGAACCCATTAAACTACTCCCAATGTCTCCTTAGCAACTATCTCCTTAGTATGGCAGCTTCCTGTCTGTGGAAGTCCAGGGGCCCAGAGGGAAAGGATAAAGGTTTAAAACCAGCGTGTGAAAAGCAGGTAGGAGGCAGAGACTACATAATGAGAAACAGAAGAACAGAAGGACACAAGCAAAGACACCACACCTTCCACCAGCAACTGTTCTGAACTTCTACCACGGCTTACAGACCTTCTGTTTTGCTAATCCGGTATCCACTACTGGGAACTCAAGAGGAAAAAGGAGTAGAACAGGAAAATGAAGGAAAAAAGGATAGTTAAAATAAATCGGAAAATTAATATCTGATTTGAGATAAAAAATTATTTAGCAAAAATGATTTCTTAGAAAAGCCACTTAGTAGACTAGTGGTTTTCAGGCTGAGGCCCGTGGCTCCCTGAGGTCTCAGAGGCTCCTCGAGGGATGGGGAGAGGGACTGGGGCCCACAGTCTCCACTATCACCAAGGCCATCTCTCAGCTCTGTGCAGACATTAGACTTCCACACACGTGTTAACTTGGAAGAAAGGCTCCATGACCAAAATAATAGTAATAATAATAATAATAATAATAACAATGAACCAGCCCTTTAATAAATCACAAAGGCCTAGTATGGGATGAAGGAATTAATGATTCCCAGTTCCAGCTGTGTGATGCTCACTTCCAAAATTATCCAGGGATATAGTGAAATGATCACAACAGAATTAACTTTAATTCTTAATAATTAAAATAAATATATGAAGTACATAATCCTATCTGAATCCGTGTTAAAATTGTAAGTATTGCAAAATCTTGGGAATCACAGCTGATGAGAAATGTCAATCTCTCAGCGGTATTTCTGCATCTCAGAGTCACCAATCTGGAGTAGAAGCTAGGAGGAGAATTAGGCCCCATGTTGCTCTTTGAGGAGAAGAAAGAGTTAAGGAGAAAAAAGGAAGTTGCACAGACTCTTGTTTGCTTTCTGAATCCCTGCACAACTCTAGAGCTTTGGCCATGACCACTGGGCACCACTAACTCTCAACTGTCAACCCTTTGCTGAACTAACACCTACTACCAAGAAGGAACTACAATTAGACTGCCCAAAGGGGCTCCGTCAATTCTGCGGAGGAGAAATAAACATGGCACGTGCTTTGATCTAACAGAGCACAGGCCCCTGCCCTCGCTGTGAGGGAAGAAATATTCCATTTCTTGGCGGCGAAAGGAAGGTGTGTGAGCCAGAGCGACAGGCTGCACAGAACACTGGGATCCAAATGGTAACAAGCTTCTAGATCCATTGGAGAGGTTTTGAGATCTGCTGTTATATTTTCACTAGAGGGATCCCTATCCTAGCATCAATCAATTTACTCCCAACCCCTATCTTCCTCCCCCGCCCCCACACTATTTATTCGACTCAAAAAGTTACTATTTTTGAAGGACTTAAAAAACATCCTTCTCTTAGCATGGGTGGCAATATGAGCGTAGCAGAAAAAATACTGGAAATGCTGGTTTTAGTTAGATCAGACTGATGCAAGTTTGAGGGGGAGGAGCCAACCCACCAGTCCAGATTGGTGATCTCTGCAGGTGCAGAAACATTTTTTTCAATTCCTGAAAAAGAAGTCAGAAACAGATTGTTAACAATACAAACCATACAACTCTTAACCCTCATCCACAGAACTGAGACTATGAAATCAGAAACTTGTCAAGTTACGTGCAGAAAGCCCCAGGCCCCGCTAGGTGCATACGTGCACAGAGACACCTCTCCCTACCGTGGGGAGTTGAATCCACTGTCCACTGTGATGCTGCTGCTGTCCATGCTGTCGAGCCGGGCTGAATGGGTGGCTCTCTGGTTGCTGCTGCTGTCGGTTTCTTTTGGGGCAAGAAGGGTGAGGTTCTTTTCAAATTTCCTCTGCAAGTCTCTTTCCTTCTCCCTCTCGAGGAGCCACTGCATGGTGCCTACGTCCTCTCTATTTTTCTCCTCCTCCGTGTTCTTGTTTGCCCCTTCCTCAGAGTCATCATCATCAGAGACGTTGTAATAGTCAAAAGAGGTTTCCTGGTTCCCTCCTGACTCCTGCTGACGTTGGGAAGCAGGCGTGGCTTGTGCCGCCGAGGTCCCCAAGGACGGTTCCAGTTTCTCACATCGGCCTGGCAATGTGTCAGCAGGTGTCTTCGGGTGAGATTTGAGGAGGGACAGGCTGGATTTGTGATAGCTGTTTACAGACAAGGTGCTGTGAAGAGGTTTGAACAGTGTGTCTTTGCTAAATATCTCTTTCCTCTTGTCCAAGCTGCTGGGCTCGGCACCATGGTGCTGGACGAGGCGTCCGTTGGCGATCCCTTCAGCCACTCCTCCCGAAGCAGCTGGGCCCCCACCCGGCCCTTTTGGTGACTCCTCCTTGTGTCCTACAGGCTCCCTGGAGGAGTGGGGGACCTGCCTATCAGATGGGGAGAGCTTTTTCACCCCCTCTGCCAAAGTCAGAGTGTCATGGTCCTCCTTGTTCTTTCCCAGAGGTGATGGTGCCGTGAGCACTGTCTCACTAGAGGTGTTGCACTGGAAATAGTCATCTGTGGCTGTTTTTGTTGGACAAGAGTTGAGTTCGCCATAGGACGGCAAACTCTCAGGTGGTTTGCCTGGCTCCAAAAGGCTACAAGCGCTGGAGGGTTCCTTGCTGCCACTGACTATCTCTGGAATACACACTTCTTTATAGCTTGTGGACGCAATGTGAGCCCTTTGGTGACCAACAGTCTGTGCAGGCCTCAAAGTACTGTCGTCAATGTAGGATTGGCTGGGGGTCTGGTCGTCTTGGCTGCAGCCTTCAGCCAGGTCTTCCGGCGTCCCTAGAGAAGAAGCACCCAGAGGGCCTTTGGAGTTATCCATCGACCTGGATCTCTCCTTGGCTTTGTTGGATCTCTCATTCCTGGACCTCCGGTCCTGGGTATGGCTGTGGCTTCGGTGCACTTTTGAGTGGGAGCTTCCCCTAGAAGGTTCAGGAAAAGGCATCTCAGTTCTCCTTTTGGCCAATTCACCGGACACATCCCACTCTGGTGTCATGGGGAAGTGGGACTCGAGCACGTTGGTGTTGCTGTGCATGATGAAGTTATCTCCTTTGTGTTCAATGATGAAGCAGCCCTCCCTGGGCACCCTGGAAAGAGGATCACAGAAGTCATACTCCCTTTCACCCGGGATGTCCAGATGGGAACCGTCGGAGGGGTCTCCTTTAGACACTCGTGTCTTGCTGTGAGACCGAGACTTTCCATGGGACTTCCGATGAGTCCTACTCTTTTTACTCCGTCCGCTGTGATGGGCAGAGGAGCCGGCTTTACTCCTCTGGGCCTTTTCTTCTTCCAGTTTCTTCATGAGGGCGGTGTGCCGCATGACATTTTCCACGGTCAGGTCTGGGTTAATGCGCCTAATGATTTCCATCTCCACTTCCCGGGGGATCGTAGCTGGCGTGTCCTCGTCTCGCAGGGGCCACTCTTCAGGAGGAAACTGGGCAGAAAAATTGGCCAGTTGTTTGGTCTTGTCTTTTTTAAAACTTAGCCGGAATAACTTGAGCCCGAATTTTTTTGACTGCTTTTCACTGTCTTTAGGTTTTGAGAGGGTTTCTGTCTTGTAGGAAAAATTTACAGTACTTTTGCTCTTTTCAGTGGGTGGCACCTGGCACAGAGAAGGGGGGCAGTAAGGGTCTTTGCAGTCCTTGGCAGACTTCCTCTGCAGGGTGGGTGCATGCGTGCTGTGCACGTCTTCTCTGCAGCAGTGGCAAGAGTCGCAGTGGTTTCGGGGCAATGTCCTTTCCCTGACACAGCCTGAGGCAGAGGGCGTGATGGTCCCGGGTTGCGGAGAGGTGCACTGAGACCGGTCAGGTATCCTCTCGTCCAAATGGTACCATTTACTGTTAGTTCTTATGAGGGAAGGAGTTATGAAATAGGTCTGCGGGGTCACGATGAAGTAGCCATCTGGAGTTGGGTAGATTTTCCTCTCCCGTACCAGCGTGTTCAGCGTGTGCCGCAGAATTTCTTGGCTTGGGGTTGGAACACCTGAAACAAAACAAAACAAAACAAAACAACAACAACAAAATCCACTTGTGAGAATCAAGACAGAACATGTTGATTCCTGATTTCCAGGATTCTATTCATTATGCCAAGATGCCAAGTACCATGACATGGCCAGGAGGCACTATTCAGACAAAGGTGTTCATTAAGTTCAGTGCAAATCCTCGCCTTCTTGGATAACTCCTAAATTACTACCCACAGAATGAGCAGATATAAAAGCTGTGAAGACAGAGATGGAAGTTAGGTGGAGACAGATTGCTACTGCTGTTACCTGTTGTTTGAAAGACAGAATATTTTAAATGAGAGAAAAATGAAAAATGTTTTCCATAATATGATATAAAAGCAACTAGAGAAGCAGAGTGAAAGTATCTACCTTGATATTAAAAAACACATCTAACATATATGGAGGCTACCACAGAGGAGTTACTGTATGTGCTCATTGTTAAAGATTTGACTTAATAAACTTAGTTTTGTGAATTATATAAAAGGGCAGCTAGACTTGACTACTGGTTATGATGTACCCTCTAATTTTGGAGTCATCGCCTTCCATTTGGAAGCTGACTGCAGCACGGGTAAAATTCACGTAAGAATGTTCTCCTTTTTGGTGTCAGTCAGTAAGATGAAGGTGGTTTTTCTAATTTCTAACCAAAGCGCCCTAATAAATACACAGTGAAGGCTTTGACACTCTATATCTGTTTGTCCAAAATTGCCATATTGGCTAGAATAGAAACACCAGATAAAAATGACGAAAGCTTCTTTGTATGACTGATCATTGTTTTCAAAGGGTTTTTGTGCATGTTTATGCCTCATCTACCTTAAGAGACAGAATTAAGAGTATAAATTCTTAAGAGAGTTTAACTTCTCCAGGCTCCAGCCCACTTCATTTCTTGGGTATTCTTCCTTTCTCAGTGCCAGGCACATAAAGGGTGATAATACTTAGAAGATTGATCTGAAATCGGTCAGGTTGAATCATATGAAACTGCCACTATGTAACCATCTGACTCACAAAAGTAGCAGCTTCATGTGGTTCAGCCTAACACGAATAAGGCAGTGGAAGGTGGAGACCAAAAGGCTGGGCCAGGCTGCTGGACTGAAACCCTTGCCCTGTCATTGCTGGCTGGCGTCGCTGGTTGAATTACGCACTCCCCATCCCAATTTGTATGTTGAAATCCTAACCCCTAATACCCTTTTAAATATGACCTTATTTGGAGAAAGGGTCTTCAGAGTCAAGTTAAAATGAGGTCATTAGAGCGGTCTCTCATCTAATATGACTGATGTCCTTCTTCTGAAAAGGGGAAAGCTAGAGACAGAAAGGCACAGAAGGAAGACACTGAGGAGACACAGAGAAGGTGGCCATCCATAAGCGGAGGACAGGGGGCTCACAGCTCTCAGAAGGACAACCAAGCCTGCTGAGATCGTGATTCTGGACTTCTGGCCTCCAGAACCGTAGGACAATAAACGTTGGTTGTTTGAGCCACCTGCACTTTGTGACAGCAGTCCCAGCAAATGAAGACAGCTGGCACCACCTCAGGCAGCTCGGCCTCTCTGAGCCTTCATTTACTGTCATCACAAGGTGGATAGCAATAGTACCTGTAGCCACTGGGCTGAGGTAAAAGGAGTTTAGTGTGTGTGGAGCAGGGCACAGCACACAGGGAGTGCTCAATAAATATCAGCTGGGAGTTAGTCTCCACTTCGGGTCGGGACACACGGAAAACCAGATTGCCTTCAAACAACGATGTGCACCAACCTAGAACACCTGGGTGAGCTGAGCTGCTTCAACTCCCCAAGTCCTTCCAAAGTAGGAAATCAAGGTATTAGAAATGGCCTGGAATTCTCAAGGGGAGAAAATCCATGAATGCGAGGTAACATACACACCCATTTGTGTGACCATCTTCAGAAGGCATCCTTAGTGACCAAGGCAAAAAAGGTAGCATTGTTCATAGATAATGTATTAATATCATTATTTAATTTTTGAGTTGCATGGTTTCCTTTTAGTCTAATACTTTACTTCTGGTAAGCTAACATTAGTTTTTATACAAATGATTTTAAGACCAATAATAACAAAATTTGTATTTGAATTTTATAATGCTTTCTGTGCAAAATAGAAATGAATTTTTTTCTTTTTTTTCTTTGAGACAGGGTCTCACCCTTGCGCAGGCTGGAGTGTAGTGACAAGATCTCAGCTCACTGCAGCCTCAACTTCCCCAGGCTCAGGTGATCCTCCCACCTCAGCCTCTCGAGTAGCTGGGACGACAGACACACACCAAAACACCCGAGTAGTTTTTATATTTTTGTAGAGATGGGGTTTCTCCATGTTGCCCAGGCTGGTCTTGAACTCCTAGGCTCAAGCAATCTTACCGCCTCTGCCTCCCAAAGTGCCTTCCACTGAATAACTTCAGGGGACACCAGTGACATGGTATATACCTTCTGAGATGAGGGCACACCTCTGCACCGCAGTCTCACGAATGATGCCCACTGTCATTGTTTGGCACAGTAATCAAGATAGCAAGCCCATGTTTAAAACTGACCACATCTTAAATGGTAGCATACTTTCAGTCAACAATATGACAAACTTCCTCAAAAACTCGTAAGGTTCATTTATAAGTATTCATGAGTGACCAGTTTACCATGGCTCCTAATAAGGGAAAGCTGAGGTATGCATGATAAAAATAGCTATTACTATAAAGCAAAAGTTTAATTTTATTATAGAATTTGCTGACTGTAGGTCTTCCAAATGATGATCTTAGGAAACTCATAAAGCTATTAATATATAGAATCATGACTACAATGCAATCATCTTTACTTAAAATTAAAAACAAGTTCTCTGGTGGTTCTCAAATGAAAGAATAAAAAGAAAAATAGAGAAAAAAATTGAGAAACAATTTTCTATTTCCATAGAGTATTTGTGCTTAAATTTTCTTATGTCTTGGGTTTCCAGGTATATCAATCAAATGATGTTTAATTTGCTAATGCACACTAGAAACATTCTTTGCCCCCATCCAATCCATTTTCCATGCTATGACCTGAGAGTTTTCAGACTTAACTGAAAGTTGCTTATGTTTATGATTATCGTTTTATTATTAAGCCCTAGTATACTGACTGATCATCTATGAAATTCGGGGTTCTACCAGAAATCTGTAGGGTTGACCTGAGAAAGTGATGGTTGTGATGGATATTTAACATTTGCATACTCCACTACTTCCAAATTGGACTCTGAAAGTTTATCATGAATTCAGATGTTGAGGGCTTAAAGAATAAAAATACACTTTACATCCTAACAGGCCTGAACCTGACCTCTTCCATACCTTTACATTTTTCAAAGCAAAAATAACTATTTAAAAACACTGCATGACGCTGTGATCTACTTGGATCTACGTATTGCGCTTTTTTTTTTTTTGAGATAACATCTCACTCTGTCACCCGAGCTAGAGAGAAGTGGCACAATCTCGGCTTGCTGCAACCTCTGCCTCTCAGGTTCAAGTAATTATTGTACCTCAGCCACCCGAGTAGCTGGGATTACAGGCACGTGCCACCACGCCCGGCTAATTTTTGTATTTTCAGTAGAGATGGGTTTCGCCATGTTGGCCAGGTTGGTCTGGAACTCCTGGCCTCAAGTGATCCACCTCAGCCTCCCAAAGTGCTGGGATTACAGGTGTGAGCCACCACAATCAGCCTCTGTGTAATGCTTTAGTTCTGTAAATCTGACAAACTGTCAGAACAGAGAGCACGTGGACCTGTTCTGTATGATAAGCACTTTTAAGTGAAACCCTTTAATAAGCCTTGTTAGATTATTCTTGTTTGTGTAGAACGCTGGCTGAAGAAGAATTCGAGAAGAGCTGACACATATAAGGAGAGGAATGGGAGACAGAACACAGTGAATGTAATATTAATGTTCTCCAGCAATCTCTAAAGTCAAGTTCAGCTCCATACCTAGCCTTATAGGTCTATCTCTATGTCCCTGAAGACCAGCCTTCCTCCCAGAAAGATTCAGTTGTAACAGCTTAACAGGTACCAGACCAATTTAAATGATCATTCTGGATGAACGGATGCATAGTTATTTAGAAATATGAGAAGCAAGTATTATTCTTTATAAACCTTTCAAAAAATATTCTTGATTCTGTAATGGAAACTGATAGATAAAAGTTGTTGAGTTGGTTTTCAAGAATTCAGCCAACTTTTTTTCACTTTTATAGAAAAGTGAGAAAAAGGTTTAAGTTTTGATGTATCAGAAATTTTTACTAGAAGACTTTTCACTAAACTTTCTTTAGAATATGGATACCCAAAACAAGAAAAGAAGCCAAATTCTAGACTATACTTTTGATTCATAAAATATACATTAAATATGAGATTCAAATATTTTAATAATACTTTGGCCCAAAAACTTTATTTTTCAGTAGTAAGATATAAAAGAACTACTTTATTCTTGTCTTTAAAAAACAAAAACTATAAATACGATCTTTAAATCCCTCCAGAGTTTTAGCACTGTCATGAAAATATGATTTTCAAGTAGAATTTAAAGGGTTGGGTTTTCTAAAATATTTTCTTCTGCTATAGCTTAAGTGATAGCAAAAGACAGACCAAAAAAAAAAAAAAAAAAAAAAAAAAGCAAAGGAAGGAAGGAAAGGAAAGGAGAAAGGGAGCTAAGAAGAAAGGAAACAAGGCAGGCAGGCAGGAAACAAACTTTGATATTTTATGAAATACAGTTTAAAATCTGGAGCTATTGTTGAACATAACTTTAAATAGTTACCACCATGCCCTAGCCCAGGGGTCAGCATACTTTTTCTGTAAAGAACCACGTAGAAAATATGTTAGGCTTTTAGCCATACGACCTCCATTGCCACTACTCAACTCTGCCACTATTGCATAAGGAGCCAAAGATCATTCATGAGCAAATGGGCATGGCTGTGTTCCAATAAAACTTTATTTACAAAAACAGGTGGTGGGCCACACTAGGCCTGCAGGTTAGCAAACTCCTGTGCTAGACTCGGGTTTGTATGGTGTCCCTGCAAACTTCTGAGGCTGACAAATGAGTCATCAGTGTCACACAGAAGAAAAGGCTCCTCTGTCTGTCTGAAAACCAGGGCTTTGGGATTTAAGTTCCTTTGCCATAAAAGCTAGCAAAACAGTTATTCTTTCAAGTACAAATGACCTATGGATTACTCCACAAAGCATTCCAAGTTAGTGATATTGTTATCAGCTGCTTGGCAGTGAGGAGCATCTTACTATTACACACTGGCTCTGTGTTCTTTCTATTCTTTATAGCCCAGAAATGGGTGGTATATAAGCAACTTTAGAAACGCCGTGTGATTTCTCATGAAGCTAAATAAAAATACAAGGATTTAAAAAGCTGCTGGGTTGTTCAATGTCAGAAGTGGCTACGCACTCACAGGGCAGAAAGCAGGTCCTTCCTCCAAGACCGTCGTGTTTGCCAACACTATCTGTCCCCACTTAGGTGGCTCTCACCTGGGATTCTGTTTCTCTCACTACTGAAAGGAAAGGGGTTTGCCTAGGACTTAACACAAAGAGATAGGCAATCAGATAGTGAAGACGATTCAGAGATACTAAAATGCTAGAAAGCTTAAAATAATTTGTATGTTGCAAGGGTGGGTTCATGTTAGAGATTTTGAACCATATACATATTATCAAACATAGTAATTAGAATATTGAAAAAGGAGGAAATATCACAAGGAGAGGGAGAAAACGTTTCTCTGGGACACAAGGAGAAGCAGGGAAACCAATGTGGTAGATAAGATCTCTACTTAGCTTAGAACTAGTCCTCCCGTTCTCTTCCCATGTGTGGAGTGCACTTCCCCACACCTTCACTTTCAGTTTAGCAGGTTTGCTTTGGTCACTGCAATGTTAATGGGGCTGCCATGAACAAAGCTTGAAGAGCAATGGGCTTGTGCTCTGGTGCCTCTGACATCCCACGAGTGAAAGAGATCTCCATTTGCCCCCTTTTCTAAACAGGATGGGTACAGATGGAGCAAAACTACCCTGCTGGACCCCACCTGGATCAGCTGACTCCTGGGGAACCCACAGAGGCGTGAGTGAAATCTGTGCTTGTTGCCATAGGCCTTTGATGTTCTGTAGTTGTTTGTTACCCAGAATTTTTGTAGCAAAAGCTAACTGATACAATTAACAGCTTATATTTACTAAGATCTCTTCTAAGTTGAATGAAAAATACATCAAACGTTCCCTTTTAATATAATCTCTATTTCAATCTAGAAACAGGCTGAGTCCACACCAAGTTGGTAAACTGGTAGCCTGATAATGTATTTCATTTGACTTGCACGTTGCTGGCACACAAATGTTAAAACGTATACACACATACAATTGTCAATATTTAAGAAATGTAGAGATTTCCCATAAGACCAAATTTCCAGATTCTCTTGAAACATAAGACTGGCAGCTCTGGCAGGATGTCCATTGGGGGTGGGGTGACAATACACTGGCTCTCTTGAGAGACGGTCCTGCATTCTGCAGCTTGTCACCCTTCCTAACGCCCTCCAGCACGAAAGCATCAAATGCCACTCGCACAACGGCTGGGCTGTTGCCTCCTTTTTATAATATTTAAGAAAAAAGTAAATATTTTATTTTTTAAAAATGAAATCCTAATTTATCAAATATTCTTTTCTTAAAACTCATCAAGCCATGACACAAATAGGTAAGATATGTTAATTTTTGACATGACCCTTTCTGCAGTTTAACTCCCCAGGACTAAAGTTTTCAGTTGTTGAACCCTCACATTCATGTATTTAAAGATTAGATTGCAAAGATGACTGGAGTCCGGGTCATTTTTGCCAGATCCTTCATGAATTCTGAATTGATTTCTTCCTCTCGGTGCCAATTTGA